AGACACCATTAAGACAGTGAAAAGGCAACTCACGTACTGGGATAAAATATTATAGATATAGAAATTATATAATATATAGTATTTTATCTATATTATATTATAAATATATTTTATAACATTATACAAAATATTACCTATTCTCTATACACGTAAGTGTGATGACATAAACGGAGACACACATATATACTTCACCAAAGAACTCTATCCAGAATACAAAATATGATATATACACATATATGTGCATAACAAAGGACTCGATCTGGAAAATATAAAGAACTCCAGAACAAGGGCCAGCCCAGTGGTGTTGTGGTTAGGTTTGCGTGCTCTGCTTCGGCAGCCCGGGGATCACTGGTTCGGATCCCAGGTGCAGACCTAGTACCACTAGTCAGGCCACGCTGTGGCGGCATCCCACACAAAATAGAGGAAGATTGGCACAGCTCTTAGCTCAGGGCCAATCTTCCTCAACAAAAACAGAAACAAAAACGAACTCCAGATCAATAAGAAAAAGACAATCTGCAATCTGGTTGGTTGGTTAGTTTTTAAGGACAAAAGATTTGAATGGGAACTTCACACACACACACACAGAAAAACACCTCCAAGTGATCAACAAGCTCATGAAAAGACGCTCCACTTCACTGGTCATCGGGAAAAGACAAATTAAAATCACAGTGCGACAGTACCCTGCATCTACCTTCATGGCCAAAGTCACAGAGACTGACGTCAGCGAGCGCTGACAAGGACGCGCAAGGGGAACTGGTTTTAAATTGGCACAAACCCTTTGGAAAAGTATTTGGCAGAACCTACTAAAGCTGATGGACACCCAACCCAGGACCCGGCCGTTCCCGGGCTGGGTATTTACCCAACAGGAGCGAAGGCTCAGGTCCACAGAAGACCCGGGCACGGACGTTCACAGCAGCTTCATTCATAAAAGCCCAACCCTGGAAACCACAGAACGTCCATCAGCAGCAGAGCGGATCCATCAACGTGTCATATTCACACGAGGGGAGAGAAAACAGCGGTGAAAACAGTTCGAACGACTGCAACACGCGAAAACACAGATAAATACCGCAGACACGGTGGGCAAAGGCAGCAGGACCCATCAGCACCTGTCCTGGAAACTGCACCCAGTTCAGGAAACGGGCCGCACTGCCCGACGGGGACGGAAGGGGGAAGAGGACCGACCAGGAGGGTGGCGGGAGGCCTTCTGGGGGCTGGACACCTTCCCCATCTCGACAGGGCGCTGTGTTCATCGGCAGCCTCCGGGAGCTCAGGAAATAAGGCCACAGCCTCCCCAGAGCCCTGCATGCCCGGGCCCTGCCCGCTGCCAGGACCTCAGCTCCTGCCGAATCCTCCCCTCGCTCCTCCTGGAGATCTGGGTTGGGTTTAACAGGGTAGGAGTCAGGATCTGGGAGGACTCCACCCAGGGCGGGAAAGAGACCTGCGAGGAGCTGCCAGTCCCCTTCTCTTTTTCCCCGAGGGCTGTCAGTACCCACGTGCGCTAAGGCGGCCACAGCTCCCTGAGTCGATGCCTCCTCCTCCAGGAAGCCCTCTCAGATCCCCACCGCCACCCCGGGTAGGCTCTGGTTCCCACAATTCTCTGCTCCTTTGTGACACTGGCCCCCCTGTTTTAAGCCTGTTTACTTGGCTGCCTTGCCCCCTGAGGGCTGAGACCCTCTCTTTCTTGTTCCCTGTCTTAGCACCAGAGCCTAGCAAGGTGCCTGGCACCTAGTAGGTACACAATAAACATTTGCTGAAACAAATGAATGTCTGAATGAGAAAGTGAGTCATCTGAGGGAGGATAAGAATGGGATGGGGCCACTAGTGATTTTATGCCACCTCCTTGGTGTATAGAAGGTGAAATTTGGGCCCAGAGTGGGTAAGTGACTTGCCTAAGGTCACATAGCCAATTAGGGGCAATCACAGCACAGAATCTCCAGGAGACGCTACTGAGGTTTGTTTGCTAACAGTTCACAGGTACACCCTTTTCCAGGAGCCCTGTCCTCAACAGGCTAGCCCAGGACCCCACCCCTCCCTGTAAACCCCCCACAAACAGGGGCATCCATAGTCAATGACCGACTTATATGGGACACAAAAGGCTGCTTACCGTTGCCCCAAGGTAGCGCTTATTCTGGACTGCAGGCTGATGCGCTGCCTCCCGAGAACGACAACGCCCCTGAGAACTCAGGACGGCCAGGAGGCAGCTGTTAGGGGAGGCGGTGTCCACGGGGGTGTGGGCTGTGGGGGAGGGGCCACGCTCTGCTCCCCAATCCTTTCACTTTGTCTCTAAAGGACACGCAGAAGGACCCCATCGACACACTCTCGCTTTCCAGCCCCCAGCCAGGAAGCTCTAAAACACCCCTGAGTCCAGAGAGGGACACCCTGCCCACTCGCCAGCTCTCAGAATAGGTGCCTGGGCAGACAGGGGTCAGTTCCCCGTGAGTCACCGTGGGCCCCTCCCCCGACGGCAACTCACCCACCCTGGTTACAGAAAACACTATACCATCTCCGAAATCCGGATAAACACTACCTGCTGTCAGTTTGCCTAGACTCTAATTTTGCTCAGCGTAATCACCAGTTACGAAGAGCTCAGAGGATGCCGTGTTTGGGGGATAACACGCAGGCCTGGCGGCCAGGAGCCCCCAGGCTCCTTGCCCTGTCTGTGTCCCTCTGTATGACCCTGCAGAGTGTGGACTTCCAGCCAGAGGCCACCAGCGGGGTGTCCAATCCCAGTCTGACCTCTACCAGCTGTGTGACCTTGCGCAAGTCACTCGACCTCTCTGATCTACGCTTCCTCATCTATAAAATGGAACCATGGGTATGTACTTTGCGTACCTTTGTGAAGATTAAAGGAGATCGAATACGCAAAACGCTCAGCACAGCCTGCATCCGTTACCATCCCCAACCACAGTATGATTACTGATGAGGAGGGAGCCTGTGGAGAAAGAGGCGGGAAGGAAGAGGAGAGACAGGCTTTGTCCAGCATCTCAAACAACACAAGGAATCAGAGGCCTGGAAAGTGTATACAGCAGGCGCTCACTATACAGGCGCTCTGCTCACGATAAACTTCCTGTGCAGAAGACGAACCCAAGACAATGACCTCTCTGGGCTGAGAGACCTCTTTAGGCCCCAAGAGCCACCTTTATGCAAACAGCCCCCGAGCCTGGGCAGAAGCGGGAACAGGTGACCTCTTCCTGCTGCCAGCCTCTGCGCTCACGCTCTGGTCCCCTGAGCCACGGTCGCCCACCGCCTGCCGGAGCCAGCAGGTACTCAGCAGAGCTTGCTGTGCTGTGCGCGTCAGGCGCCAGGGGGACAGCCCGCCCGCCAGGCCCCCCTCAAATCCTTGGGGCGCTGGTGGAGAACTGTCTGCTGCTGGAGGACAATCTGGAGGCGTGTTCCACCGTCTCCCCGAGGTTCCCAGCGCGGCGAGGCCCTGCTCACCACCCCTCAGTTAACCACCGGCCCTCGCACCCTTGATTCACCCTGCTTCTTGGGGCGCCCAACCTATGACCCCCCCCCCTTCCTAGAACCACTGACTCACAAGGGACGGACCTGCTCTGCACACCGTGCTCACCAGGCTGTCGTGACTCCGCGGTGAGGCACGCCCCATTGTGAAACGGCCCGCAGACCACTGACTGCCAAGACGATACGAGGTTTCAACATCTGGGCTTGCTGAACTTTTAAAAGCTGCCCTTTTACCGAGTTATCAAAAGATTTATGGACCCACGATGTGCCACATCCCGTGTTCGGTGATGGGGAGATATTCATGGACTGAAAAGTCAGGGTCCCTGCTTACACAGGGCTTAGAGTCGGGGAGTGGAAAAGACAGGGAATGGATAAACCAATAGGCCGGGACAAAGATGGCGGCATGTGACAAGGAAGGGGAAGAGACGGGTTTGCGGCTGGGCCCCACGGATTGAGTGATCAAGTAAGCCTTCATGGAGGAGGTGACATTTCAGCGGCATGACCTAAAGGATCAGAGGGAGCCAGCCAAGAGAAGAGTGTGAGGTCTAGAGCTGGAAAAGAGTTCAGGGCATTGAAGGAACAGAAATTTCAGACAGTCTGGCTGGAGTGGAGGGGAGGACAGTGGCCTGGGCTGAGTCTGGAGAGGGGCAACGGGCAGATCTTGTGAGGCTCTGGGGCCGCCTAAGAGTGGCCCCGGGGCTCTTCCAGACTCGCCCTCCTCTCACTGCCTCCCGTGCACTCTGATCTGTTCTCCCGAGTGGGAGAGGCCGGAGTTACCACCTGCCTGCCAGCAGCCTCACTGAGTCCCCCGCTCCCGGGGTACGGCGTCTCACATGTCAGCATCCTGCACCTGTGTGCAGGTGAGAAGGGCTGGCTTCCAGGCAGGCGGAGGGAGAGGCAGACGGAGCCCCTTCCAGATCGGCACCTGGCACATGGGCGTCTGAGTCGAGGAGAGTTTCGGGGAGTGGCTCACAGCGCGCAGACTTGAATTCAAACCCCACCTTTCTGAGCTCGGGCAAGTTTCCCCGCTTCCTCAGCCTCAGCCTCCTCACCTGTCAAATGCGTTAATAACCCTATGTGCTTGCTCATGTCGCTGCGAGCTTTGCTGAGAACATCTAATCCATGTAAAAGCACTTGGCCACAGTTCTGCATTGATTCCATTTTTACTCCTACTATGCGCCCACCACGGCCCTCGGAGCCAGGATGCAGCTTCAAACAAGTCAGGGCCAGCCTGGGGGTAGCAGGGGAGACCCACGAGGCTTACCCAAGTCAGTAATTACAAAGACAAGATTTAACCAGCACACAGTAGGTGCCTCCCTCAATCTGAGACCCCGTCCCCCACTGAAAACCCAGAGCCTACAGCTACCCACAAACCCTGCAAGTCAGGACTCTGTCTTCGAGGAGAGGCTGGGTCACGGGCATCCTTAAAGAGCCCAGCTCTCTAGAGGCTACAGTCTCAGCCCCAGCAGGACCGAGGCCTGGCCCCACCCACCCCCACTGGCTACACCCCTAAACCCCAGAGACGAGCTCTCGGGGGATTAGCTGCGGGCGCGGTCAACGTCAAGGGCGGCGGCGGCCAGCGCAGGCATGAGTCATGTCCTGCCCGCTTTGCAGAGGAGGGGAGGGTCCACGGCTGGAAACGCTGATGCCACGCAGCCTCGCCGAGGAGGGGACAGGCAGAGGTGAGAGCGGACCAGAATGGACAGGGCAAACCCGGGTACAGCGCCCTCCCACCACCGGCTACGCCCATGCCCGGCTCTAAAATAAACTCGGGAGGGGGATTCTCTCCGGATTCCTCAGTTACCCCGTGACCACAGGGGTCACTATTTTTTCCCCCTTGAGAAAGGAGGAAACTGAGGCTGAACGAGATTAACTGCCTCGTCCAAGGTCACTCATAGGGTCAAATTCCAGAGCCTGGAAGGCTGGCCCACTCTGCGGGACCAGAAGGAATGAAGCCGGGGGACAATCCTGTAAACACAGAGGGGTGGGGCCCCAAAGCTGCCTGAGTGACAGCCCGGCAGTGTGGTGGAGCGGTCACAGGGAGGCCTGTGGCCTTGGCTTGTGACTTTGGCTGTGTGTCCTGAGCCTCAGTTTCCCCAGATGGGCAGAAAGGGCCTAGCTCAGCTGCAGAGCCCCAGGCCCTCCCCACAGACGACGGGGCGGGGGGGGGGAAGACCAGGCATCCAGGCCTGGGCAGGAGTCCGAGGCCAGCACTCTCGGAGCTGCCCACCCTCAAGGGCGGGTCACCACAGGGCCACCACGACACCACCCCTCACGGAGGGACAAGGCCAGGGCGGGAGCCAGGGCCTGCTGCTCCACACCAGTGGACACCCAGAGGCAGCCTGTCCATGGCCCATTACCAAGCCCCAGGGCGCTGCTGGTGTGCACGGTGCGCTCGGGCCCAGGGACCATGTTTCCGGGTGGCTGGGTGGGGATGAGATGCGTGTGTGTATTTGGGGGTTGTGTGTGTCGGGGGGGGAGGGCGTGCCTGGGGTGAACAGGATCACCGCGTGCTGGTCGGCTCCGCCTGTGGAGCTGGGGAGGGGCGCGCAGGGTGGCAGTGGAGCTGTGCGTCCAGGTGGTCGTGAAGGGGGAGGGTAGCGAGGCGGCCGTGGAACTGTGAGCTACAGGGAGTGGGTGGGAGGACGGGGGCAGCTGGGGGGCTCATAAGCAGGCTGGGCGCCTGTGGGTCTGAGCAATTGTGCGTGTGGGGGGGGGGTTGCGGTGGGGAGGGCTGTAGTTAAGAGCTCTGACTCTGGAACCATCCTGTCGGCGTCTACATCCTGCCTCAGCCTCTGAGAGTCTGTGTGATCCTGGGCAAACTACGACACCTCTCTGAGCCTCAGTTGCCTCATCTGTAATATGGGGATAATAATAGCATCTCCCAGGGGTGGCTGTGAGGATTAAAGGAGGAAATTATGAAAAGTATGAGCACAGTGCTTGACCCACAAAGAGCGGCTCTTATTAGTATCACGGTGACAGTGACATCTGTGGGTGTCCGCAGTAACCGGCGGGTCCGTATGTATGTACTACGTCAACAGAGGGATAGGACGGGGTGTCACGTGCCTGTGGGGGTCCTTTACATCTTTGCACCCTTCCTGCTTGGGGGCCAAACTAAAAATTTATCTCCTACCCCCATCATAAAACTTATTCACCTGACCCCACTCAACCAGTTAAAACACAAAGGAGGCGGGGACCCCACTTTCACAACTAAAGAATGAACACCTCTGAGGCATGAAACTAACAGTCCCCTGATACCTCCAGACACTCGTGCTGGACCCTGGGGTTACAGCAATGAATACAGGCAGATAAGACCTCTGCCCTCAGGCAGCTCAGTCTGGGATGGGGAAGACAGACAGATATCAAAGAGAAACCCAAGAAAGGTTTCAACACAACTGTGACGGAGGAGAGAGGGAACAGCAAGAAGTTCCCTCAGCAAGAAGTTCTCCCAGCAGAGGGAGAGGCAGCAGAGCAGCCTATGCAAAGGTCCTGAGGCAGGAGACCCTTGTGGGAGATCCAAAAGTACACAGCACTCCAGGAGCAGGGGGTACCGGGTGCACGAGGCTGGAGAGATGGGCTGAGAAATGTGAAACAACCTACATGTCCAATGATGGGGGATCGGTTAAACAGACTCTTCCACTCTTTGGCAGTTTCATGCATTTGACCCAAATGAAGTTTACAAACACTGGTGAGAGGAGAGACCAGTTAACAGCACGATGTTAAGTGAAAAAAAAAAGGAAGCTGCAAAGTTGTTTACATCTGGGGTTTTGCAAACACACACACAAAAATTTGAGAAAAGTTTTTCATCTACAAGAAAAACAATTGCATCCCCAATGATACAAAAATCCCCCTGCCAAAACTTCACAGTGCTAGCCCAACGGCGAAGGACATCTGGATATTTCTTCTTTCTGCTGTTTGGCATTTAAAATGTTCGATCAAAAAAATTTGCTTAATGTTTAACAAAGAGCGAGAAAATTTCCCTGCCATCTCCTGCCCAGATCCCAAAACCCTGAAGAGGTTTCTGGAGCCGCGCTTTTAAGAGGACAGCCCTTTTTTGTTCAAATAGCACATAAACAAAAGCTCGTTTGGCAGAGGTCCTCGCCGGGTGGACATTGACCCCGCGCACCCTCCCTGCCTCCCGGCACCAGCACTGCAGCTAAGACAACAGCGAGCGTTTTCTCGGGGAGCCCTGGGGAGGGGGGCTCGAGTTCTGGCTAAGCCTCAGGAACTCGTCCCAAACAGTTTCTTCCCCACCCAGGGACCCTCCCTTTCCTGTGCCTCAGGGTCAGCCCTCCTCCCACACTGTTGCTTTGGGCCAGCACATCCCCCCAGAGCCCTGACCAGCCCTGAATTCCTGGGGCCTGGAAGCCCAGAATCTTCCATCTTAAAGACCATGCAGCCCAAGCTCCCCTGTTGCACCGGCGAGGGGACTGAGGCTCCGAGAGGGGATGTGACTTGTCGAGGACATCCAGGACGCCGGGCAAGGTCCACCCTGGCGCCTGGACCTCCTCACCAGGACCATGCACTCAACGAATATGCATTAATTAAGCACCTACGATGTGCCGGGCACTGCTCGAAGCATCAGGGACACAGCCACAGAGCAAACTGACAAGGTCTCTGCTCTGAAAGGACGAAATCGCTTCTGAGCCAAGCAGGCCTACGAAGGCAGGGAAACAGAGTTATGTGATAAGGGTCAGGGGTCGGGGGAACGGCTCCAGACTGGGGGGACGGGGTGACCTCCGAGCTGGAATGTGAATGAAGAGGAGGAGGCGGGGAAAGAAGCTCCAGAAAGAAGGCCGGGAGGCAGGGCCAGGGGCAAAGGGAAGGCGGACAGTCAAATCCCGGCTCCCACACGTACTGGCCGTGTGACCTTGGACAAGTCAATTCTCCTCCTCGACCCTCAGTTTCCCGGCCTCTGAAATGGGGGTAATGATGCCGCGCCCAGAAGGACGCAGGAGGCCCCAGTGCAGTGCCCCGAGCAGAGGGGTTCCGTTCTCCTTCCCTCCCCGTCCCCGGGTCTGATGCCCGGCTGCAATTCTCAGGTGAGTTAAATCGCCTCAAAGCACATTTCCGAAGAACTACCCTAACAGAGACTTTCTTCCCAGAGGATCATATGATGCAGATCCGCCCACTGAGGGGGTCCGAAGAGAGACACGCTAAAATCAACATGCGTGCTCCAAGTTCCAGGGCCGGGCTGGGGCCTCCACAGTCCTGGGACCTGCAGGGGCTGGGAGAGTCCGGCCCACTGCCCCCAGCTGCAGCGCCTCCTTCCCCTCTCTGGAGTGTGTGGAGCTCAGAGGTGGGAGGTCAGGCTCAAAGGCAGGCTTGGCTTCAGGAAAATCCCTTTCCCTCCCCGTGCCTCAGCTTCCCTACTTGTGGGGCAAAAGTAACAAGCCCAACCTTGCAGGAGTCTGTAGGATTAGCTGTCGGGGGCTCGGGAGATGTGTTCTCAGGACCAAGGGCACGACACTGAATAATGGCTCCAAAAAATAGGCAGGCCCCCATCCCCGGGCGTGGGAGCCCTGTTACTGTGCGTGGAAAAAGGGACTAAAGATGCTGAGATGGGAGGACCATCCTGGTTTATCTGTGTGGGCCCTAAACGCAAGGACGTGTGTCCTTATAGGAGGGAGGCAGAGGGAGATTTGCCCACAGAGGAGAAAAGGTGAAGTGACAGCCTCAGCAGAGGAACACTTGAAGAGCTCGGCTGCTGGCTACGAGGATGGAGGAAGCAGCCACTCGGAATGCGGCAGCCTCTAGAAGGCAAGGAAATGGATTCTGTCTGACAGCCTCTGGAGGGACCGACCCCTTGGTTTCGGCTCAATGAAACTGACTTCAGACTTTCAACCTCCAGAACTACAAGAAAATAAACATCTGTTGTTTTCAGCCACCAGGTTTGTAGCAATTTGTCACAGCAGCTGCTGGAAACTAATACAGCAGCTTTCACCATCCCAAGCTAGAAGGGCTGGATGGCTATTTGTGCCCAGATGCAGTGCTGGGCTAAATTAGAATTTCTGCAGGTGGAGCCCAGAGAGGGGCCAGGGACCATCCACCGGGGAGAAGCAGGGTTTCCGGGAGCTGGAGGGGCTCGAAGGCACAGCCACTCCACACACAGCCTCCCCAGCGCTTGCTCCCTGGACCTAGGCCACCTGTCACTCATCCGCCCCCTGCAGGGCAGGGGCGCTCACAGGCAGGGGGCCCGGCTGACCGCCCTGAACGCATCCCCACCAGGTTCGCCCCAGCACCCGCTACCCGCCAGGCCCTGCAGACACAGAGAGGGCAAGATGTGGTCCCACCCCAGACCCAGGAGGAATTCCAGCACCCAGCCTTGAAGCACTGGGATGGGGGCCCACACGGGGGCTGCGGGAGACCAGAGGAAGGAGGGAGCGGAGACATCTGAGCCAGCTCCCCCCTCTCAGGGAGATACCCCGGGGGGCATGTTCTGCATGGTCCCCGGAGTTCCCCAGTGGGGCTGAGCCCCTGTCGCCCCCAGAGGCAACCTGTTGATGAACACACCCAGCAATGGCCTCTCTCCCTCCCTGCCTGGCTTCCCCAGACCTCGAGTCTTTCCCGGGAACACCTCCCAATCACACTACTTGCGCTCGAATCACTGTCTCAGGGTCACTCGCGGAACCCCCATCCAAGCAGGTGAGGTATTCCACATAGAAGACAGGAGGTGAGGCGAGGCCCACGACACAAGAGAAGATGTCAACACCATCATCTACACCCTTTATCACCACCACCACCACCCCAACCAAGGGTCAGGCATTGCTTAAACACTTCTCGTGTATTATCTCATCCTCCTGTTAGTGGAGGAAGGTGCTATTATCATCCTCTTTTACAGTTGGGGAAACTGAGGCACAGAGAGGGGAAGTCTTCCTAAGAATCTAAAATGGCTCACACTGTCATCTCTGGGGCCTCACCATCCATCTCTCTCCTTTACTCATTAGGCTTCAGCCACACAAACTTTTCTGTTCCTTGTACTTGCCACCACCCTCCCCTGCCAGCTCGTTCCTACCTCAGGACCTTTGCCCATGCCGTTCCCACTGCCTGGAAGGAGGGGCTGCCGCCTCCTCCACCCTCAGTTCTCTGCTTAAGTGGCATTTCTCCAAAGGGCCCTTGCCTGAGCACCAAACAGGAGTGCCTCTCTCACCTCCCTGCTATATTCTCTGCACAACCCTTTTCACAGACAAAATTCTCTCCTTTATTGGTTCACATGCTTTATTATCTGTTTCGAACAGAAGCTGGCAAACTTTGGGCCACAGGCCAAATCTGGCCCACCTCCTGCTTTTGTAGGGCCTGAGAGGTAAGGATGGTTTTGCATTTTTAAATCATCGAAAAAAAATCAAAACGACACAGGAAAATGATATGAAAATCAAATTTCAGCGTCCATAAATCAAATCTGATAGGAGCACAGCTGTGCCCACTCGGTGACATAGTCTGTCTGTCTGTCTGCACGGAAATCTGTGGTCTGCTGTCGTGATGGGGTCTTATGGTCTGAAAAGCTGAGAGTATTTGCTATTTGGTCCTTTATGGGAGAAGCTGGCCGGCCGACCCCTGCCCTAGGACTCGCGGCCTTGTCTGTCACTTCTGGGGGGGGGGGTTCCTGGGGCCTGAAGAGAGCCAGGCCCATAGCAGGTGCTCAAATAACAACGGGGGAGGAGAAGAGGGGAGGTGAGGGGGTGATTAACACAAGGTCCCGCCCCCCAGTCGGGGACTGAGTATCACCTAGGTTTGCAATGGGTGGATGGATGCATGAATGAATGAATGAATGAATGAATGAAATGAACATACAAACGTCAAAGGGAAGCCACAGTTGTCATCCCTTAGGGTGGCCCAAAGTCCCAAAGCAGAGTTTGACATCCCCTGGGGGGGGGGGGGTGGGTTGTCCCCCAACCGCACAGCCCGGCCTTGACATTCTGTGGGCCCGGAGCTCTAAAGAGAGGATGTGATTCACTCCACCAGGAGAGGAAGGAAGGAAACCAGCCCTCGGCTCCAGAGCCAAATTTAACTCCTCTCCTCCAAGAACCCTCCTCCCCAAACACGCACACGCTCGAGCTCGCACACGCACGCGCACGCGCGCACACACACAGCATCTCTCCACCTTGCCGGGTGAGGAGTCCATCCTGGCAGCGTGGCGGGGGGAGGGCATCCGCAGCTACTGGCTCGGCTTGTTGAACGGAAAGCGAAGATTCCAGAGCAGTTCCTCCCTCCCGGTCCACACACACACACACACACACACACACACACACACACTCTCCCTCCTCGCAGCACTGAGACAGAGGGAACCAGAGAAACAAGAGACGGAGGAGGAAATAAGGATCTCTAACGCCACTGGGGATTTCAGATCCAGCAAATAAGCTCATCTCTCAGGAGGACGTTAGCATCCTCAAAACCCGGGAGACGGCATCTAATTTATGTTCTATCCCGCTGGGGGGAAATTGATCAGTTTACACTCTGGAACGTTCCGTCCTGATAGATGCATATTCTTACTTCCCAAGAAGAAGGAAGTCTTTTTCCATGTGGATATGCATCCAAAGAGTCAGAGAGACATCAGCTCCAAGGTTCTGGAATAGTCCTAATTATCCTGCCGTTTCCTCTAGGCCTAAGCCCAAGATTTTATCACAAGCCGCTAAAATGCTCTTCGTGGAGAGGTCTGTGTTTACTGCTCTTTGTCTGCTTTTTCTCCTCTGGAGCTCTGTTCTGAATGGGGAGAATCACAGAAGCTCACAGATAAAAGGGAATTAATTCCACACTAAGGGGCTGAAAGCTACTTTAGCCCTGTCTTGTAGCTAAACCTTCCCTTGGCTGGGCAAGTAATACAGCACAGGCAGGAACTGCTGTAAAATCATAGCTCCCTGTTCCAGGGCTTTTCCCACCCCCTGGAAGCCCAGCCCTCTTTGAGGGCAGAACTTCAAGGTCCAAGGACCTCCAGGTGCGTTGAGCACTGGAAAGACAGAAGACTTTGGCAAGGGGCCTGAGCTCTCTTCCTCCTGGCTGTGTGGACCTGGGAAAACGGCTTACCCTCTCTGGGCCTCCATTTCCTCAGAGGATATTAGTGCTGGCCTGCCAGGGGTCTGAAGACTCAAACACTCAAGGGAAGTGAAAGGGATTGGGGGTAACCCTCAAAGCATGCACACTTAGTTACGGCCATGCCCCCGCCCAGGCTAGAGTTAGAATGACCTTTTTCCCAAAGAGAATCCATCACATCATAACCCCGATTAAAACCCCCAGAGGCGCTTAGAATTAAATCCGTCCCCCTTTCCACAGCTCTGTGCCCGCCTCCCAGTCCCTTCGTCCTCAGCCCTCAGCCTCCACTGCTCCTTTTGTTTCATCGGCTCCGCTCACACTGGCCTCTGCCGCACTCCTGCTGGAAAACCTTCGCACACGCTGTTCCCTGTGCTTGGAACACCCCCGGCCACCCCCACCCCCCGACACACACATGCATCCTTTAGGTCTCAGTTTTAACAGCCCTCCCTCCAGGTAGTGGGTTGAACAGTGTCCCCCTCAAATTCATGTCCACCAGGAATCTCAGTGTGTGACCTCTTTGGTCTTTGCAGATGTAATTAATTAGGGCTCCATGAGGTCACCGGATTAGGGTGGGCCCTAATCCAGTGACTGGTATCCCTATAGGAAAAGGAGATGATGCAGATAGACAGGCACAAGCCAAGAAACACCAAGGATCTCTGGAAGCCACCAGAAGCTGGAAGAAAGGCAGGCTTGTCAAGCAGGGCCTCCGAGGGGCACGGCCCTGCCGACACCCTGACTAGGACTTCCGGCCTCCAGACTGTGAGAGAATGAATCTCTGTCGTTTTCAGCCTCCCAGATTGTGGTGACTGGCTATACTACCCTCAGAAGAGCCTGAGCTGACCCCTCAGCTAAAGTAGGTCCCCCAGTCTTTCTTAAACATCCTGCTCCTCTTTGCCTCGTGAAAATGTTGGCCTCCCCTCCAGCCCATAAACCCCCAGAGAGAAGGGATCTTGGCCGCCGTGTGCCCTGCAGCCACAAGCTCAGAGCCTGGCCCACAGCAGGCATCTGATGATATTTTCCAAATGAATTAATTTGACAGATGTGCCAAAGGAAGCTCAGAGAGGTCAAGGGGCTCACCTGAAGTCACACAGCAGGAAGAGGCAGGGACCGGGACCCAGACCACTGGCCTCCACACCAGTGATCCACAGAGCCAGGATGCTGATGCCCACCCACGAGGACTTGGGCTCTGCAGGAGGACCTCCTTCTCCCTTCCGACTCCCAGCTGCCAGGCCTGTGCCCTCTGGGCTGTGCGCCTGACCAGGAGCCTGACCTCCTGGGCAGGGACCGGTCTCCACTCAATGAACCTGGAGATAGAAGCCTCTTCAGTCCTCCGAGGTCCTGGGGCCACCGTGGGGCCAGGGATGCCCAGACTCGGGTTACCCCGACACCCACAGGGCAGTTCCAGCAATGGCCACTCAAGAAAGTGGGCTTCACCCGCTGGGACCCACTCTCCCCTCACCCTCCAGGCTCCGCCCTGACACACCCTCACTGCCTAACTCTGAAGCTGGGGAGGCACAGGGCTCGAGGGCTGGATGCTAACCAGCCCTGACTCACAGAGAAAAGCAGATCCAGGCCGCAGAGCGTCTCCACTGGGGGCCAGCCCATCTCTAACACTAGAGAGCGAGGCCTCTGGCTCAAAACCCTGGGGGGGCGGCAGCATTTACCTAGTTGGGACCCGCGGACACTGCTTGGTCTCCTCTGTTTGTGTTTTTAAAGTAAACTATTTATGGCCAGAGATGCTGGTTTTTTTCAGTTTACAGTAACGATACGTAGATCTGAGTACAAGCAGGTGGGGTGACTTTAAAATATTAGGTGAATCATAACACAGGAGGTCTATGCACATGGCAAAAATCGCCAAGATGGTGTGTGAGTGACCGAGCTGGAGGGATTGGCACTCACTCATTCATTCGTTCGTTCACTCGCTCTCTCTGGCAAAGACGCAGACACACACACGTCCCTCGGGCAGCTCTGTGATACGTTCCTCAGCTTTCTCCAGAGTCAAGTGATACGTTATATGGCCCTGCCTCTCGGGCCAGGTGCCCAGAAGAATCACCTGGGGAGATTTTTTTTTTTTGAGGAAGATTAGCCCTGAGCTAACATCTGCTGCCAATCCTCCTCTTTTTGCTGAGGAAGACTGGCCCTGAGCTCACATCCGTGCCCATCTCTCTCTACTTTATATGTAGGACGCCTGCCACAGCGTGGCTTGCAAAGCAGTGTCATGTCTGCACCTGGGATCCGAACTGGCGAACCCTGGGTCACCGAAGCGGAATGTGAGCACTTAACCGCTGTGCCACTGGGGTGGCCCCGAGATTTCTTTTTTAATACAGATGCTCGGGCCTCACTGGGCAGACCCACTGAGTCTGAGCTTCCAGATGGTGGCCCCACCACCTGTATTTTTGTAAAGCTCTCCAGGGGGGTTCTTCTGAGCGGCCAGGCCCCAGGTCCTCAGCCGCTGCTTCTCCCGCTGTGAGCCCGGAGCTGGGGCTGTGGAGTGTACAGAGCATCCTGGAAGAACGAGATCCAGGCCTTAAGCATTTCACCCAAAAGAGTCTCAGGCCAGGGCATGCCTGGGGCCAGTGAGAAGCGGGTTCTTCAGGACTTCCCCAGCATCCGTCCAGGCCAGCCCTTTGTGGGGCACTGGGCTACATGCTGAGAAAGGTCACGGTCGGGTAGGGGAGGCCGAAATAGTTCAGAAAACACATCATCCAGCAGACGTTCTGCCACAAAGCAAGGCCCAACAAGTACAGATCCTAGGGAATTCCCACAAAAATCAGGGGCCAGCCACACCTATCAGGACGGCTGGTATCAAGAAACCAGAAAATAGCAAGTGTTGGCCAGGATGGGGAGGAACTGGAGTGCTTGTGCCTCGCTGGTGGGAGTGTAAAACGGTGCAGCTGCTGTGGAAAACAGTATGGCAGTTCCCCAAAGAAATAGCAAGAGAATTATCATAGGATCCAGCAATTCCACTTCTGGGTACATACCCAAACGAATTGAAAGCGGGATCTCAAAGTGATATTTGTACACCCATGTTCATAGAAGAATTACTCAAAACAGCTAAAAGACGTGGAGCCACCCAAAGGCCACTGGCAGATGAGTGGATAAATAAAATGTGGTCTATACACACGACGGAATATTATTCAGCCTTAAAAAGGAAATTCTGACGCCTGCTACAGCGTGGAGGAACTTTGAGGACATTATGCTAAGGGAAATAAGCCAGTCACAAAAACATAAATATTGTATGATTCCACTCATACAAGGTCCCCAGAGTCAAGTCCAATTCAAGGAGACAGAAGTTAGAATGGTGGCTGCCAGGGCTGGGGGAGGGAAGAACGGGGAGCTAGTGTTTAAGGGGGACAGAGTTTTAGTTTTGCAAAATGAAGAGTTCTGCAGAGGGATGGTGGTGATGATACCCCAACAATGAGAATGGATTTGATGCCACTGAACTGTACACTTAAAAACAGTTAAGATGAGGGGCCGGCCCAGTGGCACAGCGGTTAGGTGCGCACGTTCTGCTTCTCGGTGGCCTGGAGTTCACCAGTTCGGATCCTGGTTGCGGACATGACACTGCTTGGCAAAAGCCATACTGTGGTAGGCGTCCCACATATAAAGTAGGGGAAGATGGGCATGGATGTTAGCTCAGGGCCAGTCTTCCTCAGCAAAAAGAGGAGGACTGGCAGCAGATGTTAGCTCAGGGCTAATCTTCCTCAAAAGAAAAAAAAAAGTTAAGATGGTAAATTTATGTTACATATATTTCACCACAATTCTAAGAAATAAAAAATTTTTTAAAAAAATTTAATGTGTGGGCACAGGCTGGGGACCCAGCTGCCTGGGTTCAAAAACCCCAGTTCTACCATGTGCCAGCTGGGTAGCCTTAGGCAAGTCACTTTGCCTCTCTGTACCTCAGTTTCCTCATCTGTGAAATGGGTATAAATGATCATACCTGCCTCGTGGGGCCATCGGGAGGACAAAATGAGCTGATCAGCTTAAAGCGCTTAGCAGAGTTCGCGGTTCGACATGCTAACAGCTGTATGACTGTCGCGGTCGTTACTGTTCCTGTCCCCCTACACACCCTGCTGGAGCTCTGAGGTCTCGAGGACGCCCACGTGAGGAAGATGTGTGTCCAGGGGGATGCAG